ATATATATATATATATATATATTTCATACTAATGTACTACAATATATATATATATTTCAAATTTGATGTTAAGTCTCAATATAATGAAAGTAATGATAAATAATATGCTGGGAAAATAGGACTTATAATCTTGACCTATGGGCAAGATCTTCATAATGGATATGAGGGTTTGAAATATAATGCAAATATGAAATGTAATTCTAAATTTGCATGTTAACATAACACATGGCTATGTAGTATATTTATGCATCAAATAAGATTTTTTCGACTATGCCTAAGGTTTAATAACTTGGGTTTTATGTTGAATGCCATAAAGCCACTTGATATCTAAGTTATAATGTACATTAATATATAAAATTCAAACTAATTGTGTACTTGTTGTTAACTAATAGTAACGCAAGTAATTTAACATGTTAAATTCTTCTTACGAGAACCCCTAGTTGGTTGGTGATTAGTCGACTTCCTTCAACAAATAACCTTAATAAATGTATGATAAAATTTGCTGATTAAGAATTCTACTAAATTAAATTAGAGATCATGTAGAACTATATTTTGGGCATTTAATTGTTCTACAATACTATTTTTTAACAGCTGAATATTTTTGTACAATTTTAGAAAAGCAGCATGCCAAAAATATCTTGCAAAATTTTTACAAAAATATCTAAATGTCTAGAACTACATTCTCTACAATATACTATCAAATATACGATAAAAGTTTTCTCATTTGAAAGTTATTTTGGCCTTACCAATACAAATTTATATTTTAAATCAGGGAAATTTAAAAATTGTTAAATTATTAAAAACTACGATATGTAAAATATAACATATCTCGAGCCAGATAACTATTAGAATTGGGCCATTCGTAGAAAATGATATGAAGTGGCGAAAATCCAAGTTTTCTCTCTGTAAAATTCCCCTCACTCACTTTCTCTAGTCGGATACCTTGGGGGAAAGAAATGATTTCATTTTAGTGGAAAACACATTTATTTTAATCAAAGTATATCTCAAACAATAAATGAATGACTGGCACTAGAATCGAATAAAATATGATAAGGAATAACTAAAAAAATAAGCCATACATGTCATCACATAAGGATAATTCACAGCCTCTAGCTGAGTCAGACTATATACACATGTCCGAATCATATTCGGAGCTACAAAATGATTAGCCTCTCTCTGAGTATATGTAGATTATCTCCATATCATGGAATCACTAACCCCTATCGGAAGCTACAAAATGACTAAGTTCTCTTTGAGTATATGTAGATTATGTCCCCGAGGTGGAACAATCTTTGATCTTCCCACTAATTTAACTTCTTTAAGCTTAATACGGATGGATCTGTGGATCAGTTTTCTGCTGGGATGGGGGGTATTCTGCGTGATTGGTCGGGTGAGGTAATTTTGGCTTTTGCGAGCCCTTTATACCCGTGTAAAGCCATTTTGTTGAGCTCTTGGGTCTTGCTAAGGGTTTGGAGTTGTGTCTTACTAAGGGTTTTTATAATGTTCAAGTTGAGGTGGATGCTTTGCTGGTTACTCAATTGATTAAGAAGGAAAATTCTGTAAATCCGCAGTATTTCTATCTCATTAGAAAGATTCATATGCATGTCTAAACTTAACTGCACTTTAAATCATATCTTTAGAGAAGGCAACGCATGTGCTGACTGGTTAGCGAAATTTGGCTGCTCCTCTAGTAATGATATTATTTTTGAGATTGATAAGCTGCTTGATCAGTTGCTGGGTTTGGTTAGGCGTGATAATCTGGGGCTTCCTTACACTAGGGGAACTTGATGGGTGTGTTTTTGTTGTTTGGGTCTTTCGGTTCTAGGTTGTTTCTTTCTTATTTTCTATTAGCTAGGTGTTATCCTGCTGTTACTTCTGCTATTTTTCTTTTGGTTCTGGTGTTTCTTTTGGAGTATGTTTTGTTTTGCTTTTTGTTTCTGGACAAGGGAACTGTCTCTGGCTTTTGCTTGCCCTTTTTCTGTTGGGAGACTATTAAATGTTAGTTGGGGAATTTCTGGTGTGTCTTTACCTTATGTTATCTCTTTCAGGATAGAAATTTTATCTTAAATGCCTTCAGGTTAATCGTTCTCTCGGGTTATAAGCATTGGAAAGGTAGTTTTTTGGTTTCTAATGATGTCTTTTTCTATGCTTACTATGCAAATTTTGTGATATATACTTGCAGGAAGTTTTACACTTTTCATCGTAAAAGCTGTTCGGTGTGCAAGGTTAGTTTATTTTGGTTTTTAGCCATTATTGGATATTATTACTGGCTTTTTTGCAGGAAGACTGAGCGAAATGTCATCAATATGTGCTTCCTTTTTTGGGTTCTGTTGACTCACAGACCTAGGTTAATGTTGCATTATTTTTGTAATTGTAGAAAAAGGAACCACCGGCTCATAGGTTTTTATTTTACTTTTTTACTTGTAGCTCTTTCGAGCATTAGTGAGCTGGATGTTCCTTATAAGGACCTTGTAACCGAATTTTGAATATTAACACGTAGGCCCTATGAGTGGGTTTTAAAAGAAAAAAAAACTAAAATCTTAGAACAAACAATATAAAGTCGAGTAGGTATTGCTAGTGGATATTCTATAACTTTGTATCCATGCGGCCTTTCTGACCATAATGAAAAGATTTACATGCCATTCAGTAACACGGTCTTGTATGTCTCCTACAACAACTCAGGCATATTTATATAGAGCTGGCCAAACTACCACCAATAAAAATTTACCCAAATGAACTGCCTTTCCTAAACTCAGAGGGTCCAAATCTACTTCTCTTTGCAAGAATATCTACCCCCACCCCTAGATGTCTCCTTGTCGAACCTCTTCCTACTAGCAATCCATCACTAGTGAGTAGAAGTTATCCGATTATTCTCAATCAATCTAGCTCGCTTAAGAAGCTAAATAAAATTAGTAATCCTGAATGAAACTAACTGTTGTCTCAGATCATCTCATAAGCCTCTTAGAAAACAAAAATATTTCTCCTCAAAAGTACTAAAAAATTGCGAACCATACTTGGCCAAAATGGTAAACTCTGACTCATTTAACATCACAGTCCAGCTCCCCTGAACCAATCTCATACACTACAGAAGAAACACCTATTATCGACAGATTTCACCGACAAAAATAGCATTTTCCGGAGGATTTGGTCTTTCTGGCCAAAATAGTAAACTATATATGCCTCATATAGCATCATAGTCCTGCTCCCTTGAACTAATCTCAAACCTACAAAAAAATCACCTATTATCGACAGATTTTTCCAACTAAAATAGCTAATTTTCTAGCAGATTTGGTCTTTCTAGTGCAAAATTTATCGTTTGTTAAAGCTGCATAACAAATTAAAACATACTGAAATTTCCAGAAGAAAAAAATTTTAACAACATTTCGACAGTAAGTTTTCGGAAGAAAATTTTTCTGGTGAAATTTTTTTTGGCAAAAAAGTTTTGCCGGAAAAAAAATCCAAAAATTTTTTTTTTCTTCCCGCAGAAGTTGCCCCCACTTGTGCTACTTGCACACGCTACCCAACCTCGCCTATCTTCCCGAACTGCCTCTACCCGCATATCCTTGTTGGTCCGCTAGGGGGGCGCTTGCTAGCTTGTCAACCTTACCCTGCTGCCTATGCTCGCCCGGTTGACGCCCACTCACTTTGAAAGTCTTCAAATGCCTAACCACTCCGCTGCGAAGAAAAATGTGTTTTAAAGTGACTTTTTTATATTTAAACTATAATTATGTAAAATTTAGAATTAATAATTAATAAAAATATATTTTTTAAATAATAATTAATTTAAATTACTAATTAATTAAAATAAAATATGAAAGTTAATAAAAAAGTTAAATAATATTATTAAATACTTAAATAATTAATTTAAATTAGTTAATATTATTATTTTATTTCAAATAGTTAATTAGTTCATTTTTCTTTTTAAATTACAAGTATATGATGATATCTACAAAATTTAAGATCTATTAGAAAAGCTACCGATAATATTTCTTTGGAAATCTATTGAAAAAACCATCAGAAAATCAGCTGAAATATTTCATCACAATCCGTAGGAAAGCCGCCAAAAAATTGTCAGCTTGAAATCTGCTTGAAAAATCTGTTAGTAACGGGCAATTTTTCATTAGTGAGAAATGTTTTATGTATCGACTATTGAGCAGATAAATTGGCCTCTAAACACATTAGTAAAATTTTCCTAACTAGTCAGAGAATTCAGCAATAAATAAAATTTCTCCTAATGTTAACCTAACCACCAGTGCACTAGCGCTCAGCTTCACCATCAAATGAAAATACAACCAGAGATACTCTCTTCTCATGAGGATACTACGTTCCATTAATGATCCTTCTCTAATCTCATTAACCCTAGGCTCAACAATTCCCTCGAATCTCGATGGCTTTAATGTCAAACATATTTGCAATATTGATCAAAATTCTTAGTCTTACCAGAAGAACTCATGCATAAGGCCTCATCAATTAATTGTGCTACCAAACCAACAAATTGTGACATCGTATCAGAACCAACATTAAGAACAGTACTGATTACCAGTTTAATTTGGCTCATACTTTTCCCATAGTTCACATCATGCTCGGATTCATCCACAATAACTTACAACACACACAACGAACTGATACCTACATATGAATAATGAGACAAAATGAGTGCATAAAATTGTCTAGACTATCTCACGTGATTACAGATCAATTCTTATAGCTCTATTTCTAATTTATTTCTCCAAACAATTGCTTGACTTTACCAAAAAGAAAGAACTCTAATAACTTAACTCAATATGACTCACAAATGCATGTCACACCATATTGGATGGTTGTAAAATAAAATGCAGAATAAAAAAGACCAGGATCTTTATTTGGAAAAATATTGTTTTTCTTTTTAGATAACATATATCAAAGCTTCTAATTTTTTAAAACTATCACAAATTTACTCATCCATAAAGAAATTCTTTCTTTCTATTTATCCACGAAAGTATGTTGTACATATTCTTACTGTAATAGTCCTCGACAAAAGACAAACACATGGCAGAAAATATGAAAAATGCTTGGACTGCTAAAAAATCTAAAACCAAACAAAAAAGGTACGTATACAACAAACATACTTAGAAAATCAGTCTTAGCTACTCACCTAGCCATTTGCTTCTGCCCTAACCTAAAAATGAAATGCTTGATATAAATTGAGCTAACATGACCCCAAATCTTTTCTTAAAAATTACAAAATAATTAACTTAAAAGAAAGTAATTATTTCAATCTTAATAGCAAACTTACATTAGAGTTTTATCAAAATAATGTAAGGTTTTGTAGTAACTAAGCAAGTTATAGATTTAAGAACATAGTATATTGAACATAATATAAATAAACATATATTGCATAATAGAAAGTACTAGAACTTCATCTTTTATATCTTCCATTTAGAACTCGAGACCCTTATACCACAGATTCAAAATTCCAACCCTTAGGCCTCTGAATACTTTAGCATATCCATAAATTTTGCAACAGAACTCTATGGATATATAAAAGAACTCCAAATAGAACTCCCTCAAACTCCTCAGATACAAAAAAAATGTCATACATATATGCACAAATGTATCAATTATGTCGTATAATAATACCATTAAGAAATTAAACATAAATTTTACTATTAACATAACTCCAAAAATTTTCCAAACGGGGATTTTTTAGCAATTAGACCTATAATGTTGTAACTAAAATTGCTAAAAAAAGAATTCTACAAATTTTCCTGATATCATGCAAAACTATATTTCAAGGTTTTGATTCATTTACAGTACCATTTTTCATAGCATGTATACATTTTTATAATTTAAAAAATATATATTTTTAAAATACTTAACAAAAATCTTATACAAAATATTTAAATGTCTATAACTACATTCTCTATAATAGAGAAAGTTTCTCCATTTGAAAGTTATTTCGATTTAATCACTAGAAATTTATATTTTAAATCTAAAAAAATTTGAAATCATCAAATTATTAAAAACTGATATATGCAAAATACAACCTATCATGAATTGGATAACTTTATTGATCCTTCTAGGTTTATGGGATATGAGGAGTGGTCAAAACTCGCTATGCGAGAAGAGTGCCCGCCCCGTTTTTTGTTACGACAGAAGGGGCATTCTATTATTTACCTATCTGATCCCTAATTAAGGACTATTAGAAGAAAAAAAAAAGTTGAGGCTGCTCCATAGCTCAGCTCTCTCTCTCTCTCTCTCTCTCTCTCTCTCTCTCTCTCTCTCTCTCTCTCTCTGGCTTCCATGGGGAAAGAAATGAATTCATTTCAATGAAAAATGATATTTTATTATTAAATTTGGGCTTGTCATCGTGGCTCTCAATCTCGAGCGTCGTAGCATTCCCTCCGAGAGCATCCAACGCTGCAGTGCCACTCGGCATCGTAGCATCTAAACTAAATTGGCAAAAATACAAAGAGCACAAAGCCACCTGCTTCAATGTCGTTAAGCCCCTAGACAAATTTTTCATATTTTCAAATCATGAACAGACCCCCACAACATTCTCCAGAATAGATATCGATTCAGACATTCATATGCATATCAAACATTCATATACATAGGCAGAAGGATTCAAATTCAAAAATTTAGTAAATTACCTTTTTTGTGATATGATCGGAACATGTATAATTGAACATTGATTCAATAGGTGTTACACAAGAGACCTGCTTTAGAATAGATTTGGGCAGTGGCGGAGCCAGAAATTTTGTTCAGGGGGGGCCTAATTAAAATAGTTATGTTTGCCATCGCATTTAGAAGATTCAAAATATATCAAAATAATTCCATCCCCCCTCCCTCCGCCAATGGATTTGGGCATGTACATGTATATATAACAATCATAGACACATGCAAGAGATGTCAGAACACATGAATAGTAGTTATAAAATTTAATTTTTGCCAAACTAGGTTAGAACAAGTAAGACTGAACATTTAAGTGGGTACTATGCTATGTTTCCTCGATCAACATCACTCGATTAACCTAGACCACCATGCCCTACTACGATCCTTTAACTGATATCATTTAACTATGATTCTATAGCCATCATTGCCTCTCATGAACCTCCAACCATCATCGATCGTACTACTGTGGTCCTCGAACCACCGTCATTGACCTACAATACTCTAAACATAATTGCATGCTGATAGTCCTCTAATAACCATCTTTTGACCACAACCATCTCACTTCAATCTCCAACTAACTTCTTCACTCATTGTCACCAACAATAATAATGCATGTCATATTGATGCATGTCATTGCCATAAATGATGGTGCTTGTCAAGTTATTTTGCACCAACATCAATGTATAATATTGACTATACGGTCGATACATGTCACCGATACTAACTCTAACTGCTGACATCAACGCTAAGATTTATACTAAACTCCTTAATGTCTACTCTCCTCTCTACAAAGAAAAATACCCAAATAAATAATAAAATTTCTTGAAGATAACTTTCATGTCATAAAGTTCAATCAACTTTCACTGTGGAATTCATTAAAAATAGCCTATATATATTATAATGCATCATCACCTCCTTCAATTAGGAGAAATATTATCATTTGTTATCAATAACAAATACTAGTAGAATCATTTCAACTGAGTAAAACGTCATGATTTTTCACTTTTTATATTTTCATATAAAATATCAGCTCCTCTCATGACTTTTTTATCTATCTATATATGCGTTGGATCTTCATACAAAACTAAAATATTAAATATCCTCTCTTCCGTCATGAACCTTCTTGCAAATGACAATTTTAATAGTCCAAGTCAGCTCAACAAAATCTTGGTTTTCTAAAGGGTGACTAAGTTTACGCTTCGGTTAGGTCGACTTTTTTATTGCTTCTTAAAACAGAAACTTAGTACACAAATTGTCATCCCAAACGAAACCTTAATCTCGATCTAATCTTTGTTCGGCTTATTTTCATTTTGACTAAATCAGCTTGACTTTGAGTCTTTTTGACCCACCTAAGAAAATCAATTTCTTCTATGATGAATTATGATAATTATTGAAATCCACTGCAAATAAGAATATTAGTGGCTCTAAGGAAATCAATTTCTTTACAAATCCTGCCACTAATATTAGTCCAAATGTTTTTCTTGTTATAAATGAATATCTAATTCATTAAAAGTTTCTGCTACTGAAATTATTTCCAGCTAATCTGTTACAGCAAGCCTTTGTTTTTTTTCTTTTGGAATTAGTGGGATCATTAACATAAAATAGGATGGTAGATGTCCACTGTTTACCTAACCTTGGAATCAGGATGTCAAAGCATTGTTTATTGTAGTTTGAAAACAAGCCTTGTCCTGTACTATCTGGTAGGAAATAGTACTGATCATGATGATGACACTAAATTTAAATAATTTATCATCAATTGTTAAATTTTTTATGTATTCTGAATATTTTATTAGTAACTATTTAGAATCACGTTCTATTTTCATTATTTATTTTTATTATTTTTTAAAATATGCTGGCTAATATATTTATTTCCTTTTTAAATAAATAAATTTATTTTAGAAAATTAATTGTTTTTAATGAGATTATTTGGACTAATAATTAACTATTAATTAGCTGAATCAATGTTAATTCATTTTTAATCAAATAAAATCAATATTTTTTAAATATCTAATTTTTATTTATACTTAAAAATATAAATAAAATAAAATTGAAAAAAAAATCCTTAAATGCCATATATTTTATATGTTTGACTAAATGCTTAGCCTTAATTGCCTGCATTAAGGTACTATAATCTTCAATATTCCTTCTAAAAATTGATTCTTATGCAGGCTTTTCTTAGTCTTTTTTTTAGCAAAAACCTTCCGGAATGCTTCTTAAGATATTTTTTTATTAAAAAAATTAATTTTTTACTTCTTTAAAAAAGCAAATAAGAAGCTATGGCCGAAGTAGCATTAAATTTTGTTGTATAGAGTTTGTTACTATCAACATAAAATTTTTTGAAAATTGTGTATATAAATAAATTGATTAAATTTTGTTTTTGAGTATTATATTTTCTTATTTTGAAGGCCTTGTCATGCAGATAAGCTCGTGGGGGTCTACGGCCTATGGAAGCACGTGATTGGATTATGGGTTGCTCATGACGGAGGGCCCTGCGGCCCCTGCCTTAGGCTGGACTGCATGGCATCACGTGCTTCCGTCAGTTAACCCTCATGCTATGCTTTGCCCAAATTAATTGGACGAATTTCTTCAGTCTTAATTGACGAAACACACATGAAAACAAACATATTAAATGATGGAAAATTATGATGAAATTATTTTTTGAAGTTTCCGAACTGATTTTGCCTCGAGATTCGTGCCCGATCAAGATAATTTTGTGATGACGTATCAAGTGTTATTATAAGTTAAGAAACTAAGAAAATTTTATATTTTTAACATTGCATAAACATTATATGCACATAGATAAGTGAGAAGAATGTGAAAAATCTTACCAAGTATAAAAATATGAGCTCTGGCATATGTTGTGCGTTAGAAAATACGATTGGTAGAGTGTATGATTTATATCTTAGTGCTGTACTAAGATTCAACATGAACATATAAGAGTAGTAAGACATGTGAAGAACCCGAAAAGGGAAAAAAACCATAGGGCTTGAAACAGTTGCAAAATTCACTAGATAACATGTGATACAAAAATCTTTCATTCTTCACTGTTGAAGAATAAGGAGAGTATTGAAAATCAAAGATGATAGTTAACACCCAACAACAAAATATCATTTCTGCAATAGAGACTATGGAGGTTCATAAATAAAATTTCATACCCAACAACAGAGTTTGATCTTCCCCAAAAAGGATTATAGATTTTCACATATGGACTTTTATACCCAACGACAGGATTTGCTCTTAAATAATGATGGTGGTTATCAGGGCAATACCTGGTGCCAGCTATAGACAATAGCTTATGGTCATCGGCAGCGGCGATAGCTTGAAAAAGCTAGAGATATTCTTAGTTTTCTCTTCTTCTCTCTTTCATATGAATAATGAGAGGTCTATTTATTTTGTTATTAATTTTTTTTTGTAAATGGCATACCTAATAATTAATATGGAGAAGATACAGGGAAAGTTTGAAGTGTTCTATCTGATGGCTCATAGTTATTCTCTTGATCATAGATTATTTATATAACATTAAAATGCTTTAGAGATGTCAAAATTGAGAGATCTTGGGCTTGCTGTAATCGTCTTGTCGAGCCACTTGATTTGATTATAAGCATGTCATATTTGGATAACGTTTGGTCACACAATTAACATTTTGAAGATTTAAAGTAGTCTTTGATCCTTTGATTTGGGCCCATTTGGGTTTGGATTGGTTCGAATTTGGTGTCGTTGGGTTTGTCTCTATGAGATGTTCAATTTGACTATAAGCTTGTTAAAATCAAAGTTTGGATAGTTCTGAATTTTATTCTGAAATTTTCTAATTCATATTTGCATTGAGATTCTGCCCGATCTAGATAGTTGTTGGTGACATATCAACAAAAAATAAATAATATGCTATATTTATAGTGATTACAAATGTCTTCTATTTCTATCATTCTGAGGAAAAAATAAGTACACGATTTATAATGCTTGCTTGATCTTCGATGATTGTACTTGAGAATGTTGGAGAACTAGAACAAGATAATGACAGTGGCCAGATGATGCTAGTCAAACATTGCAGTTAGGGTAATAGTGATCAAACTATGCGGTTGAATGATGGTGGATGAACGTCAGTGGCCGGGCAGGAGGTGATGATCAGATGACAAAGGTCAAATGATGATGGATGAGCAACGGTTGGTTAGGCTATACTAGTTGGGTGACAAATCAGCTGACAACGATCAGGCAATGATGGTTGTTGACATTGATCGTCGGCATATAACGTGTCACACCCTAAGATCTAATTTTGAAATAATTATCTGTTATATCTCTTAGCTAATCAATTAGTGCTTCTATTCTCATTTATTTAATAAAATTCAACATAAACAACTAAAAATCATATAAATCAAAATATTTATATATTCATTCAAAAAAATAATTTAAAATAGCCATAAGATCAATCATTACAATCAATAGTCCATATTTCAAAACTCCTAGCTATAAAATAAAAAAAACAAAATATAGAAAAAAAAAAAACAAAAATAGAATCT